TTCAGTGACAGGGTGATTGTTTATAAATTTTGTTATTTACTAATGATCATCTAGATAACAGCCACGTACAGCATCCCATTTTTAAAAACTGCTAGCGTGCACTGTGGGACACACACACATACACACATATATGTATGCATGTTTATATATATATATATATATATATATTATATTATATATATATATAATATATATATATATATATACATATATACATAATATATATATATATATATATATATATACATATACATATTTATACCTATACATATATTTATACCTATACATATATATATAGATATAATAGAATAAATATAAATAGACAGATAGATACACACACACACACACACACACACACACACACACACACACACACACACACACATACATATATATATATATATATATATATATATATATATATATATATATATATATATATATGTGTGTGTGTGTGTGTGTGTGTGTGTGTGTGTGTGTGTGTGTATGTGTGTAATTTATCTATATATTCATTTGTTTATTTATAATTATAATAATATTGGTACATAATAAAAGTTTGATTCTGTTCCGAAGCAATATAAATTTGTGCCTGCAAATAAGGTGTCTAGGAAACATTTCTGTTTTTGTGTCATTTCACCCATGGAACCTAAGATTTACAAATTCTTTTTTATAAGAATAAAAAGACGAATTAGTCTAATCGGTCATTGGACACCTAGATATAAAGTGCACAAGATCATGGAGCATCTGACAAAAAACATTACACTCTTTAAAAAAAATATGGCAACTTAGTATTTGTGTCAATGAACTCTTCTATAGCGCATATCAATGTGATTTATTCCTTTTAATCAACGTTATCTGGCGGCTCCCGGGATCCAACACGCGCAAGGTACATATAAACAGGTAGCTCCACTTCCATATAGCCTCTGGATCTTAAAAATGAATGATTTTTTCTGCAAGAGTATTCTGCCAGCTGATCATGGTAATGAACTCTTCGTTGTCATGAATAAAACGGGGAAGGGGGGGGGGACTTTTAGCAAGGTCAAAATTATGTTCGGGTAAAATGAAACATGATTGAACAACACAACTATATTCAATACGTCTTATGTATATAGATTATATATTGATATATATTATAGAAAAAAGCAAAAATCCTGCTCTTATCCTAAACGCCCTAGATCTAAATATAAAATACTTAGCCGAGAATGACCACAGGCAGAGACGTGCATAACTCGAGCCTTACGATATGGCTAACTGAAGGCCAGATGGCGGTGAGGTTGGAGTCAAGGAGTGCATATGAGCTCGAGTCATCCATCGAAATATTGGTCTGCCTGGTCGCCTAAACACGATTCATCAATTATAAGCAATCACTAATATTCAAATAAACGTAACACTGTAAGTTGTGTCAGTTGTCGTCGAGTATTACTAATTAGTCAACTCATAACAATTATTACAATGTCGAGGAAATTATACTTGTGATTATATATCTAACTATATCTGATATCTCACAGTGCACTCTCATTGGCTACTTGTGATGATGCCATTAGCTGAGCCCCGTTATTGGCCTGGTTAATCTGGTCGATATAATATGGTAAGTGCTTTTTCAGTGCATTTTTCATGAAAATGAGTTCCTAATGATAGTAGTGAAGGAAGTTGGAAGTTGCCAACTAGGATTTTCTTCAAGACGGAGTAAAGCTACCTGTATTAAAATACCTAAAATACACATAAGGCCTTTTCAGAGCCAGTAAATTGTACGAAATTGAGCATTAAGCTTCCAAAACCATTAAGTTCGGAATCTGATTTTTTGGGTATTTCTGAGTGTGAAGAGGAAAATAATACAAAAACATATATCCTTTCTCTTTATTATAATCTGTACACATTTCAGAAGGGGACCAAGCCTCTGGCACCACATATATAAAATAGGGCATTGGAAAACTGAATATAACTCACACAAACTATAAAACTTCTAGAATAAATAAAATACATCGTAATATATCAAATATAAATACAAAATAGAATATATAAAAGTGCTATACCTGATTCATCTACAACTGCCCTCGAACAAGAACAGCAAACGTGCGCGGTCAACAACTTGAGGTTCTCGCCGGCGATGGCTAGAAGCCGGCCGGCGGAGGGGGGGGGGGGGGGGGGAGAGAGAGGGAGGAGTGGGAGAGGGAGAGGAAGAGAGAGATGGATGGATATACAAATGGGTGCGTGTGTGTGTGTGTCATATATATATATATATATATATATATATATATATATATATATATATATATATATAATATATGTACATATGTATGTATGTATGTATATATATATATATATATATATATATATATATATATATATATATATATATATATATATATATATATATATATATATATATATATATATATATATATATATATACATATAATATATTATATATATATATATATATATATATATATATATATATATATATATATATATATATATATATATATTATATATATATATATACATACATATATATATACATATACATACATATATATATACATACACATACACGCACACATATATACACACACATACACAAACATATATCAGTATCAATAAATGATCAGCCAGAAAAGAGAAATTGACAGGGGGGAGAGTCGAATGCACCTTATAGAGAATAAATAAATAATAAATAAATAAATAACCCAGCCTCCCTCGCCCCTTCCTGGGGGGGAGGCCGAACGGGGGGCTAAGGGAGGTCCCAGGGCCAATCGCCTCCTGTGGGCAAATCACCCGGCACTTAGGGAAGTCCCGGATGCTGAGGCCAAGAAACAGATAACAAAGTAACTCCACTTCCTTGTGAACTTTTTCCAAGAGTATTCTGACGGCTGTTCATGGTAAGGAACTCCTTATCTGTGTGATATTTTATGGCATATTTTCCAGTGCATTTTTTTGAAAACAATTAAGTAATAATGTCTAAGGAAAAATAATAAAAGAATGAACCAAGAAAAAAAAGTATGTTTTAACATTTTCAATGAATAAAAGTCACGAGGCGGGGCATAGCTCGGAAGTTGCCAACTTGGATTTTCATAAAAACCGAGTGGAGCTACCTGTTGAAAAGTACCTTGGCCGAGGCCGCGGCGGGAGGCGGAGGCGCTGGGCAGAGCAGGACATATCACAGGCCGGCAGGAGATGTGAAGCGGCGATGGACAGGTGAGCACAAGATGGGGTCAGAGAAACGTACATGTCATTACCGTCAGTGTACACATTCGCATATACACATATACGTACATAACACCGGCACCAAACCTTGAACGAGGCTCGGATGGCGGTGCGGTATATCAGGAACTAGTGATGATGGTGATGATGATAATAATAATATTAATGATAACGATGAATTCATCAGCTACATTCTAACAACATTCGCACTCAGATAACAATGTAACAAAATGAAGTGTGAAGGAAATATAATGCCTATCGTAGAATAAGAATACTCAGCACGCAAGTCACTGCCTCTGCGTCCCCCGTGGCTGCGGCGGGACGCTCGCCGAGAACGTAGACCCAAGCCACGGGTTCACTTATCTCCGAAAGCAAGCACACTTTCCAAACAGACAGCCTTGCACGACGCACACTCAAATAAATTATCAACAATGTAACAACGTTATCCTAATCCCCAGAGAGAGAGAGAGACGCCCCCGAGGGAGGGCCCCGTCGGCGCCGCCTCCGCCTCAGAACACGACGATCTTCTGGATCCATTCCCTGAACTCGGATATTCTCGTGTAGACGCCCGGCTGGTTGGGCAGCGCGCAGCCGATGCCCCACGAGATCACGCCCGCGAGGTTCCACACGCCGTCCCGCTGGATCACCAGAGGGCCGCCAGAGTCGCCCTGCGGAAGAAGGGCGGCTTGAGGGATGTCGCTGGGGAAAGGGTGGTGGTAGGGGGTTGTCTGGTTGGGAGGGGGGGCAGGGGGTTCGTCTGATGGAGGGGAGTGGGAGGTGGGGGCAGGGGGTCGTCCTGTGCAAATAGGGAGGAGGGGGTGCAGGGCCTTTTCTACTGCTAAAATAAAACATAAACACTTACTGCATGCTTTGCAAGAACTTTGACAGTCACTATCTTCAGGAAAATGGTGATGAATACTGGATCTCAACAAAAGTTATAAGACATCTAGCTTATGGTATACATATTTCAGAAAGGCACAAATGTTCAAAAGCACCGGTTTGCGTCCGCAGAATGACGCTGAAAACTCTCTGGAGCAAAGTTGAACGTTGAGCAAGCGCCTACCGTGACATACGTACCTCGCACGCGTCTTTCTGGCCCTCCGCGTAGCCCGCGCACATCATAATGCGGGGCAGGGCCACAATGCCTCCGCTCCTCAGGAACATCCTAGCACACTCGTCATTGCTAATGACTGGCACCTCTACCTCTTGCATCCTTGCATGGAGGGGGCCGTCTTGGAGCGAAAAGAAAGCGGAACACACCCGTGAATGGCCAAGTCTATCTAGGCAGCGCTTCCAGTGGCTTCCTTCTTGCGGGAGAAGGAAGTTTCCGGAAGACGCTGCGGCAAAATGCAATCAGGAACTCACCTCACACGAATCCTTACCGCCGGCCTCATAGCCAGCGCATATGAAGATGTGGGGAATGTGTTCCACATAGCCAGCCACCCTGTACATTGCTTCACATTCTTCATTGGTAATGACGGGCACAGGGACCTTCTGCATGACAGATGGCAGAGGACCATCTGTGAGGGGAGAGGAGGGTCGAAGGTGGGGAGAGTTAGTGCGTGGAGTCCGCTGTTCAAAGTCTCATGTACCTGCAGTTCTAGTTCAACATGCGTCAAGTCAATATTCACACTCTGTAGTTACTCAACACTCTCCTTGCATGAGATCAAATGCTAGGCACATGACAGTATATCAATATAACGTTTATTTTCATATTTGCAGTTTGACGTTTAGAGGCTATGCTATACGTTGTGGTAAGGACTAAACATTTATTTATTTTTACCTATTGGACGATC